CAGTATAACAGACATTTATTGAATAGAAGTTATTGTAATATGCACATAATATACACTCCTCCAGCATCCCTTTCTTACCAAGAACCTTCTGCCTTTTTCATGGCTTTGTAATTTGAACAGCACTTGGCTGTTTACACGAGAAGGGAAGGAGGTAGTTGTGATACCTCCTATATCAGACAAGCTGATAATCATACTGAAGCTCATATGGCTACTTAATCTCGATATATACATTTTTAGTGCTAAGTATCACTGTCAGTGTAGAACAATGAAACAAGTAGTATATAGGCATGAGTATAGAAAAACATCAAATACACTTAAAAAATCTAAATTTTAACAGGTAAATCAAAATTGAGTCATAAAAAATGTAATTTTAAAAATGTCACCCAACAAGTGTTAGAAGTTTTGAACAATTTTACACAAAGACATCGGCCATTTTAGAATTTTTCAAGAAAACATAAGCAGTGTACTCTGGGAGTGTGCCCACTGAAGATGCTGAAACCAAATGAACCCAATCAAGAGAAGGGGGCAACATCTCTCTCGTGTCAAATTCCACCACAACCTGAAAAATTAACAAGCTTTTCCTTTTTCTTTTTTTTTCAACTTGAATGAACTTTTAGGAATTTACACAACCGTACATGTTGGTTTGTTTGCTTTTAGACCACAAAGATAAAGCTTTTACACCAAACAAACTGTACTAACTCACCTACCCAAATAGGTATGATAACACAATGTGCATCATAGATATGGATTTTTTTTTAATCACTTTGCGGCTGAGCCCTATTAAAAACAACACGTCATGTCAAACAACATCCCACATTTGGTGGGTAAAGGCCACTATTGTTAATTTTACACCTTCATGTGAAGGAAAGGTGTCCCTCCACCCATGTTTACCATTACTCACAAATGTTGCACCTCCAACAAATTCTAGTAGAGTTAAAGTGAAATAATTTATCAGCAATTTTAAAAAGCATCCTTAAAAAAACACTCAATAAGCCCCATTCACCAGCAACAGCAGATTATCTATAAATTCCCACTTGTTCAAGATGAAACTTTATGAAAACCTACCCAGTGTAAAATGGTCACTGCAGAGCCAGCTGTTGGCAGTAACAGTATGACAGTACAACAAAAAAGACTTTTGAAGGAGATTTAAAAAAAAAAAAAAAAAATCACAAAGTTTTAGAGTAGCTTTTGTTTGAATATTGGAGTTGAACCACCCACAAGTTGTCTGCCAAAGAAATGTGGTCAATTTAATCTGATGTCATAAATATCTGTGACT